ACAACTAGCTGTAATCTCTCTTCTTGTTTCTTTTCTCGTTCTTCTGTTTCTTTTGCTGTGCTTGTATTACTGCCATCAAATCTGCTAAGCTATAGTTTGATTTGCCACCTTTGGTTTCCATCTTCTTCTTCTTTTTATTTTTTATTTTCCGTTCCACTCTCTGACACCAATTTGTTACGTCTCTGTTCGTTTATTAATTACCGTAAAAATTATTTCCGAAAACTTCAGCAATACTAGTCCTTTCTTAATTAAAACTAGTTTATTCTTTCTCATTACAAACTTTGTAATACACTTAATTTCCACAGTCACTTTAAACTTAACTACTTTTATAAACACACGCTGTTATTATCTTGCATTTCTCTAGTTTGATATGATGATCTCTTCTTCATATCAGTAAAGTTACACAAAAATTACGTCGTAGTCAAGCAATCATGCACTCATTAATTAAGACTTGAGATACTTCTTTAGACAATGTTCTACATTTTATACTTTTGAAGAATATTAAAGTTTTAACTAAGGAAAATACTTAATTACATTAGTCACTGAGTATACCTTATATAGTTACGCAAATGACTGGCCCACTGGCTTTAATTTACAGACATGTTCTAACAAATATATGCAAGTAAAAATATAATCCTTTTCTTTCCATAAAAAAGAAATACCAGTCTCTTTCATACCTAAAAATTAATGAACATACATTTGAAAAAACTTTTTCATTGTTTATCTAGTTATAGGAACGACTGTTACTGGAAAAAGCTGTCATAATGTTCAATAAGCAAATTTACTCTATCAGAGAACATCGAGTGAGATTGTCAACCATTTCTTTAGATTTTCAATTTATAATCAAAGATCAGTTTAATAAAACAACTATCTTTGCATAGTCCAACTTTCCAGCTCAAGTTACATCATTCTCTACCTGGGATGAGTTACACAGAGCCATATATACATCTAACGATGGAGCTCCAGGTCTTGATGGTCTATAAATCCCCATATTTATGAAACTTACAAAAGTCAACCTGTTGAAATTAGTACTTGACTTTCACCATAGCTGGACAGTAGGTAACATACCCGAAATATGGACTGATTCCCTTATCAAATCCTTACCCCAACCCATCCTACAAAAGATCATAGGCAAGATTATGGAGAAGGCTGTAGTTGGATGGCTTGTCTATCAGATTGAACCACTTCTAGTGTCATCATAAAGTGTAATATCACTTTGGAAAATAAATCTGAAACTGTGTTGCTGAATTTGCAGCTGATTCTTGGGAAGGGTTTGGGGACTGATCAGAACACTTTGGAAAGAGCCTTAGATCTGAAAAAAGAAGTCTGCAGTAGAGTTCAGTTGGCCATTATTGCTGACAAAGTACTCAGAATAGTCATTAGTTTAACGTGTGTAAGAAGAGTTTTAGATGCACTAACTCCCAGAAGGTTTATCATGAAGCATGGAAACTGACAATCACCAGCAATCTTCAGGTTACGAGTTCGAATCCACGTTCCACCAAACATGCTTGCTCTTCAGCCGTGAGGGCATTATAACGTGACGGTCAATCCCACTATTCATTGGTAAAAGAATAGCCCAATAGTTGGCGGTAGATGGTGATGACTATATATGGCTGCCTTCCCTCTAGTCTTTTACTACTAAATTAGGGACGGCTGGCGCAGATAGCCCTCGTGTAGCTTTGCGCAAAATAAAAACAAACAAACTTTACACCTTTCTATAAACGTAAATAAAATCACGACCTATATCTTCAGAATGTAACTTTATTAGCTCAATATTTCGCTATTATAGCTTCGTCAGGATTGTTTGTTTTGAATTTCACGCAAAGCTACACGAGGGCTATCTGCGCTAGCCGTCTTTAACTTAGCAGTGTAAGAGGTCAATCCCACTATTCGTTGGTAAAAGAGTAGCCCAAGAGTTGGCGGTGGGTGGTGATGACTAGCTGATCACATTATAACGCCCCCACGGCTGAAAGGACGAGCATGTTTGGTGTGACGGGGATTCGAACCTGCGACCCTCAGATTGCGAGTCGAGCGCCCTAACCACCTGGCCATGTCGAGCCCTCACGTCATGTGGTTGTTCCGTTCATTCTATTGATATTCTACAATCTATTCAGTTTGTTTACATACATTTCTTCACACAAATATCCAGAGATGTAAACATTTTGTAAAAATATTTATGGCATTCGGTAGCTGAGCGGCAAGCTTTGAGGACTTACAACACTAAATTGTGCTATATAATTTATTCTTTTGCATATATCTCCATCTAGGGATAAGAAAAGGAAACATTTCGTCTCCTTGATTATTATAGCTACTGGCGTGTAAGTTCAAAAATTTGATTTTTGGTGTATCGTTTTTTAGTGCAGAGCTGCAGAGTCGTTTGAAATGACGAATAGAAAATAAAATAACATATGTATATTCAGCTTGAAAATTTTGTTCTGATGTACTGTACAATTAATGACCCATTTAACGTGTACAAGATACACAGAGAAAACCCATGAACACGATCATTTACCAAGTAATCTCATGCATGGTCTTTGTTTTCTTTATTTAGGGCAGGGGTCACCAAACTTTTTTCTACAGCGGGCTAGATAACTGAGAGAATGAA